ACTGATTTTCCATGACAATTTGTAGCAGCGGCTTGATCGGGAAGAACGAAAGTCAACAGTCTTGTTTCGGCGTCGTAACTAGTCTGTAACGGGGTGAATCGTTACATAACAATTTATAAGAAATTGTTAATAGAATATAACTATAAGAGTTGTATTCTCAGAATATTGTCATAAGGACAAATATTCTGTAGCACTTACGAGTAGTTCCTAATTGGTTGATATAGGCCATTATATCAACCAACGAAGACGCGCCACGACAGACGCACGCAATGAGTGGTGAGCAGATAGTTGATTTACACATTTGTATTTAGACATAGTTAGATGAAGATAAATAGTGATTTATTGCAGACATTAACTATTATAAATACAGTTCTACTTTTTACTTTAACCAAGTACTCGCTTCTTCTTACCGTCTTCCTCTGCACGTACGAGTGTACTTGAAGTTACGAGGCACCGCCTCATTCTGTCATCAGAATAAGAAGCTTGCACTGTTACCAGTACAAGCTTCAGGGTGCCCCGTTACACCTGGTAGCACTTCGTAGTCCGTCCAAGGACCGCGTTCAAATCCAACATGAATATGTTGGATGATGAAGATGACCAAAGCTTTCACGCTACGCGTGACGGCTACTCCCATTTGAGCGATGTCGAATGGGATGCAGTTGAACGAATGGGTTCAACCATGGGCATCCATGCTGTTAGCGTCATGCTAGAAGCTCTCAATAGAGATGTCCAACATGCTACTATCGCCAAGTTCATTCAAAATGAACTTGACGCTGAACGCGAGAAAGTAGCCTTGCTTCACCAACAAGGTTCTCAACAAGCAGAGTTGTTGAGAGAACAGGGTGCTCAACAGTTTGAACTGTTGAGACAGCAACAGGCTGCTGCTGCTGGTGGGTTGATGCACTCGCGTCGACCCGAGAACTTGAAGATTGACATCTTCAAGTATAGGGGAGTCGAAGGGGACTCCCTCTTGAGATGGTTCGTCGAATTGGATGACGCCATAAGTGCGCGTCGCATCGACGACGGGGAAATGCAAGTTGCATTTGCCCAGTCAAATCTGGCAGGACGTGCCAAGACTTGGGCACTGGGGCTCAAGTTGCACGACCCATATGCGATTGGGTCGTTAGAAGTCTTCAAGTCGCGGCTCAGACAAACGTTTGAACCGCCTAGAGCTGAGTTCAGAGCTCGAACTGAATTCTTGAAGCTCAAACAAGGTAAGAGTGATGTGCACGCTTACGCGCAACATAAACGACATCTCAAGAGTTGTATAAGTTCCAATCCGGTGGATGAACACACGTTGGTTTCGGTGTTCATGCAGGGTCTTGCGGATGGTCCCGTCAGGACTCACCTGTTCCGACTTGAACTAGATTCACGAGAACAAGCCATTTCCATTGCGGAACAGGAAGACTTCAGTCTGAGACAGGCTCGCGCCAGATCGACATCATATCGTACACAGAGACGATATGACAGCGGAGGTCCAGAGCCGATGGAACTCTGTTATGTAGAGAGCGAGAAGGCTCGCTCTACGGACTACAAGAAGTTGCAGAAATGCAACAGATGTCGGAAGATAGGACACTACGCTTACAAGTGTAGTGCCCCTCGTCCAGTGTCTCGCAACACTGGGCGTTGTGACCGTCCACCCATGAGAAGGGAGCAGGGACGCGGGTCCGCTGTTGGTGCAAAGACGCAACAACGGGATGAACCGTCAAAAAACGGACAGGATCAGTAGGTGCGGAGCACCCTACTGGTCCAGCAACGTCAAGAAAATTTGTAGGCCTCTTGATGAAGGTTGCTCCCAACACACAAACGTTTTGCGTTGCTGCTCTAGGTAATGAGATCTCACTCATTACCTTGGAACTCGAAGTGACAAATAAGTTGTCCCTTCGAGCTCAAGTCGATTGTGGGGCGTCCAACAATTTTGTGCGACGCCAATCGCTAGAAGATGGTCACTTTAAGTTCAGTGAATGTGACACACCTCTTGCGAGGATGACGGTACGTCTTGCGACAGGCGCATCCGTAACCGTCATGAAGCGTACAGTAAAGATCCACTATACGCTAGAATGAAAGCAGTATGATAATGACTTTGTCGTATTTGATTTGGATGAAAAATATGATGTCATCCTTGGAATACCGTGGCTCAGAAGGTACGAACCACGAGTAAACTGGCAACATCGAACAGTAACGATGCCTGCCGCTTGTTCATCAGATGGCCATCTGATGAACGTTTTGGAGCGTCCACAAGCGTGTGGATGTACTACGAGTGAGTGCGATGGCCTGACTTGTGGTACAGTCGTTATTACGACTGCACAAAAATCTTAGTGTAACAAACAGTTACACTTCGGAGCAAGCTTCCGGCGGCTGTGAGGAAACACATGCTGCGCCGAAGGTCCACCACTCGAATAAGCCGGGTGGACTGGGACAAAGATGTATCCCTAGCGGGGAACATCTAGAAGAGAAAAGATCGATCGCTCAGGTTAAGCAAAACGATAATCCTAGATCGACTGGAGAGTCTTTCGTAGAGGATCTCGCTGTGGTTGCGCAACCCCAGCTAGAGGAAGTAAAGGGAATAAGTCCCAAGATTACAAATACGGCGGAATAAGTTCCCCGAAAGCCGCGGGAAAAGGTCCCCGGAAAGCCGAAGGAACAAGTCCTTCGAGGCCTGAGGGAATGAGTGCCCAGGAAATGACAGAGACATTGAATGTCATAGTCAATAACGGATCAAGTGTAGGCGCTTATACACTTAATCTGATTGCGCCTCCGAAGTTGACTTCGGAGATCACTCAGTTGCCAACGCTCGAACATGAAAGGTTCTTGCGTGATCCGAGTAGTGGCAAAGTCAAGCAGATCTGCGTACTCGTCGCTGACGACGAGTGTGTAGCCGGCATAAGGTCAGAAACAGTGTTTACTGAGAACGAGAGAGTTCTCAGTAGTTTATCTATGGACGAGAGTGTCCTAGATGAAAAGACACGAATTGAGCGATATGACTCCCAATCGTGGGAATCGCTCAAGACAAATCCTCTCTATGAAGATTTGGTTGAATTCAAGGATGTGTACGCTAAAACTGTTCCAAGCGAATTACCGAAGGATAAAGGTATTCGACACGAGGTCGAGCTATAATAGGGCTAAATTTAATGTGTCATGAAGCAGTGGCCACTGCCTCGTGAGCAATTACTTGCGATCGACAAGTTCTTTGACGATCGTTTAGCTGCAGGCCATGTAAGGAAATCAACTTCCCCACATAGCTCTCCGACCTTCTGTGTGCGAAAAGCAACAGGAGGGTGGCGGATAGTGCATGAATTTTACAAGTTGAATGCTGCAACGGTACCGGCTCAGAGGCCGATACCGAGGAAGGACGTAATCATTGATGGTATGTCAAAGAGTACCATCTTTTCGTCCATGGATTTGATGGATGGCTTCTATCAAATCCTTATGCGGGAACGGGATATACCCTATACCGCAGTGAGCACGCCTAGCGGCATGATCTGGGAATGGCTAGTAATGCCACAAGGGCTTAGTAATGCCCCTGCCACGTTCAACAGATGTGTATCACATCTGTTGAGACCAGTACGAGAATTCGCGCCGAGTTATTTCGATGACGTATTCATCCATAGTCGAGCTATGGATGGAAAGTCGGAAGTTGAGGTTCACAGGTACCACGTCCGACAGGTTCTTACAATCATGCGAAAGCATCAATTGTATGCAAACCTCAAGAAATGTATATTTGCAGCAAGCGAAATACCACTTCTTGGGTGCATCGTTGGTAAGAACGGTGTACGTCCTGATCCCGAAAAGATCAAGGCGATCACCGACTGGCCTGTGACGGTTGATGTCAAAGGTCTTCGAAAATTCCTTGGGCTAGCGGCGTATTTGCATAAGTATTCACGCAATTACGCCGAGATGACTGTGCACCTCTCTCGTTTGTTGAAAAAGAACGAGAGGTGGTTATGGAACGCTGAATGTCAGCGCCCCTTTGATGGTATCAAGCAGAGCTTGATACAATCCCCAGTCCTAGCAATAGCCGATCAGGACAGGCCATTTCATGTGGTCTGTGATGCCAGCGATTTTGCAATCGGCTGTGCATTAATGCAGTACGATCTTGAAGGCGTTGAACGCGTCGTCTGCTATCAGTCGCGTCAGCTGCAACCAGCTGAGCGGAACTATCCAGTGCATGACAAGGAACTCCTTGCCATGAAGTATGCACTCGCGAAGTTCAGAGTCTATCTATTAGGAGATAGACCCTTCATTGTTTACACTGACCATGCGTCATTACGCACGGCAGTGAACAACCCGCACCTTTCACAACGAATGGCGCGGTGGTTGTCATTCTTTGCGGAATACAAGTTTACGGTCGAGTACAAACCAGGACGACTTAATGTCGTCGCTGATGCACTCTCACGTCGTCCCGACTTTGAACAGTGGTGAAACCCAACAGTGAGACAGTCACCGTTGCGGTTATGACGTCCACAATACAATCTTCAACGTTACATGATGATGTGAGGCGGGCATATGCCCAAAATGATGAGATTGTGAAGTTGTTGACACATCTCTCACAGCCATCTCGAGAATCGTTGAAACGATTGTCGTCTGCGTATCGATCTGCATCAGATCGATACACTACTCGTAACAGTTTACTGTATTATACAGCCGTTTCTGGTGACACACCACGTGTTGTCATTCCAGATGATAATGATCTGCGTTCGCGGATCATGTTCGAGCATCACGATGCTCCTATAGGAGGGCATCGTGGTCGGGAGAAAACACATCTCACGGTGAGTCGAGACTTTTACTGGCCCCGCTAGTATCTGTTTGTGCGAAAGTATGTTCGCGCATGCGAAGTCTGTCAACAAGTGAAGTCAAGTCCTTCACTGCGTGCACCTTTACAGCCTCTACCGGTTCCGGATGAGTGCTGGGAATCCATCTCAATGGATTTTGTCTTTGGGTTACCCAAAGACGCACGCGGGAATACGGGTATTCTCGTATTTGTTGACAGATTCAGCAAAATGGTACACCTTGTGGCTGTACCAGAGACAATCACGGCAAGTGGCTGTGCTTGTGTCTTTATTGACACCATCTTCCGACTTCATGGGTTGCCCCGTAAACTCGTATCAGACCGAGATCCACGATTCACTGCTGATTTCTGGCGTTCCGTGTTCAAATCACTCGGCACGCGCTTGAAGATGTCGACATCTGATCATCCAAAGTCAGATCGTCAGACGGAACGTGCCAATCGTGTCCTCGAAGAGATACTTCGAGGATACGTACACTCCTTTAAGAGTTGGAGTGAGTTTTTGCCAATGGTAGAGTTTGCCATTAACAACTCGGTGCATGCGTCCACGACCCATACACTGTTTTACGTGAATGGCTTGCGCCATCCGCGTGTACCCACTTTACTCGAGTGTAACTCTGGTTTAAGGGGGGGAGGGACTCGTGCGAGCAAAAACCGATTTGGTTCACGCTCATCACGCTCTGACGAAGAGGTCATTGCGTTTGATGCCGATATCGATAACATCGATATCGAAGAAGATGATGCCAGTGAGAGTGCGGAAGCCCTCACTGAAGAAACGGTTGATGTTGCTGCAGTGCGCTCACAGCGCACTGAAGCTAACGAGTCATCAGATGAGTTCATACTGGCTCGTGAAACGGTAGTCCGTTTTGTGCAAGACTCCATCGCCGAAGCGGTGGATAAGCAAAATCAAAACGCTGACAAGAATGGAAGTGCAAACACTCTTTTACTTAATAAAGGTGACTTAGTCCTACTGTCTACGGTTAATCTACCAAAGCATGTAGTGATTAACTTGGGTAGTAGTTTACTGCTACCCAAGTACATCGGCCCATTTCGTGTATTGCACCGCCTAGGCAATGCATACACGATCGAGTTGCCACGTAAGATGCGAACACATCCCACGTTTTACGTTGGTCGGCTTAAGCCGTACCATCCGTACGCTGCTTCTTCCGATGAAGAACGCCCTTGCGCTCAAGCATCTCGCAGAGAGCCTTGTGCTCCCGATGGTGGGCATCAACAAGGGTCTGAAGAGCAGCTATCTCAGCCCGAGACCGATCAACAGCCCACGAGCTACCCTTAGCTCGTCACGAAGAGATGTCAGAGATCTCTCGTTCTCAAGCTGAGCAAAGGCAAACTCAGCTCGATGCTTCGAGACAGTGTCCGCCATTTGGAGACGCCTATTCCGCTCATGTTCGATATCGTCGCGTAACCCTTGCGTTACGCGATCAAAGAAGATCTCGGGAACACACGGATCCCCATGATCGTGTGGAGAGCGTCTTCTCTCCTCCTCCACCTCCATTAGAGGACTCTCGCGGTGGCCAGCGCTATCTAGTTGAGCAGCTGTTGAACCACCGCGACGTGAACGGACGTCGGACGAGTTATCTCGTCCGGTGGCGCGGCTATCCCCCGTCCTGGGATACTTGGGAGCCCCGCTCCCAACTGATGAATGACGTACTGGGTCTGGTTGAGCAGTACGACGCGGCACATCCTGTGCCGCAGAAGGACCGCCGGAGAAAGTCTTCCCGGCACGGTCGTAAAGGGATTTCAGGTTGTCAATCCCTTCTTACATCTCAGTAGAGATACGTACGCGCCACCACGGGCTGGTAAGGAGGTAAGCCTCCTTAGGTGCTCGTGCAGAGTTGTTCACACAACACGGGCACGAGTCTCCCCAAGAGAGGCACGGTAATCCTTTCTCCCTTGACAGACGATGCAGCTTGTAGCGTGCACCTGTCGGGGTTCGCTTTTCAAACTTATCACGAGATTTGATAAGTTTGTCGTTCCAAGCGTCACGACCTACATCTTCAAGGTTATGGATGTAGGCGTTCCACGCTTGAAGCAGTGAGGGACCATCACGTTTGTAATTCCCACTGTACCATCGATGTCTGAAGAAAGCATCGATGAAGAAATCATTCTCAGCGCGATAGTTTTTCGCGCTGAGGTCAAGGTGATGGACCTTGATGGATCGAACAATCGTGTTCGATAACGATCACTCGTCGTCGCCGACAAGTGATCCATGACGGATTTTGGAGGCATCCATGCCTTCTTCTCGGGAGCGAGACGCAAGACATTGCGATCCCGCTCTTCCTGCAATATGCCGACAGAAGTACTGGCACCTCGTTGCGAAGTGGTGTCCATAGGAGAACCGACACCACTGTTAGCGCCCGAGTCTCGCGACCTCGAGCGCCTACGCTTCGGCGATGGTTCATCTGATTCATCAGATGAACCAAAGATGCTACGACGCAAAGCATCATCCATGCCACGCTTGGCAGGCGGCTTGGATTCGATCGCCGTCGATACGGATCCGTCTTCCGTATCAGGAGAGTAAGAGACACCGAGCTCGTACTCCGTAAAGACATGAGTGTCTTCATGACCAGCGCCTGCATCACCAAGTGACACAGGCTGAGTCGCTTCAGCAACCGATGAGACATCAGTTGCTGTGGTTTCTGCTTCGGCGTCCGCACAGAGACGTGCGGACGCGCTCTCGGCGGCCTTGCTCGCACATCGCATGGGCTTGTTAACCATGCGATGAAATGTTGGAAAGTGGACTCGGACCAACAAGTGCAAACCCCGTCCCAAATGATTTGGGACGAGTATCCATTTAGTCAATCAGTCACTAAAGTGACTGATGGTTAAGGGGGGGTGATGTAACGGGGTGAATCGTTACATAACAATTTATAAGAAATTGTTAATAGAATATAACTATAAGAGTTATATTCTCAGAATATTGTCATAAGGACAAATATTCTGTAGCACTTACGAGTAGTTCCTAATTGGTTGATATAGGCCATTATATCAACCAACGAAGACGCGCCACGACAGACGCACGCAGTGAGTGGTAAGCAGATAGTTTACATGCACATTTGTATTTAGACATAGTTAGATGAGGATAAACAGTGATTTATTAACAGACATTAACTATGATAAACACTGTTCTACTTTTTACTTTAACCAAGTACTCGCTTCTCCTTACCGTCTTCCTCTGCACGTACGAGTGTACGTGAAGTTACGAGGCACCGCCTTATTCTGTCATCAGAATAAGTAGCTTGTAGTGTCACCAGTACAAGCTTCAGGGTGCCCCGTTATATAGTCCGCTTGGCCCCTTTGACCATTTCCCGACTCAAGACATCCGGATCTAGTTCCCCCTCACGGCGTTCCAAAAGTCGGAGAAGCAGGGTCTTTCTAGCGATGCAATTGGGCATTCGTAGATTCGGAGGCACAATTGCTATAATCTTCCTTTCTAGGTATGCTTCGAAGAAGTCAGGCATCACAACTCGTGTATCACGCGGATGCGTACACACCAAGAACCCTGGCGGCGACGACAGAACGAGACCACCTATCATCCAAACTTTTAGCGCGTCTTCTTCCAGTGGTTTCATCGGGCGCAGATCATCGTCTGCTTTTTCTATCCACGCCCTCGTGGCTGTTCGAACCAACACACCACTGCGATTGTGAAAGTATTCGTTACTCCTACCAGAGGCGGCACTTCCACCTGGCTTGGGTGTTAGTCCAGGTGTGGGTTCCATGAGCTCGTCGACGCAAAAAAAGATGGCCGCCAGGCGAAAAGTCGAAGTCACCTATAGGTGCGCACCGTGGTGGCAAGTATTTGACAGCGCCATTAGGTGCTCCCCGACTTGGCGAGAATTGGCCGTTATCGTTAGATGCGCCATTGCTCAGCGATCAGTGACCGCCACCGCTAGGTGCGCTTTTCCTTAGCGAGAAGTGACCGTCACCAATAGGTGCGCTTTTCCTCAGCGAGCACTGGACTTCACCGCTAGGTGCGCATTCGGCCGGCGAGTATTCGCCAGCTCTGTTGTCGCAATGATCGGAGATGCCACCGGGGGTGCTTGGATAGTGAACACCCTCGACGTAGCAATTAGGCACGCCGGGGCCAGTCACCGCAGCCGCGTACGAACCCCGACCAGCCGCACACTTAACTACGGGGATCGGCTCGCCTGTGGTCCCAGTTCGCACGAGTGCGCCCTACCCATTACCAGCGACTGATTCACGTTCTACGGGACGACTCGGCACATGTGCTTAGTGCACGCGCGTACCGGACGTCCCGATTGGGAGTAAGGACCCGACCCGCATCCCTCTGCCTGCTGCAGAGCTCATTAGGTATTGGCACCCTTCCTAGTGCCACGCTGTTTGTTTGCGTACTTAAGCTCAAATCTGGAAGTGGCCGTGATGATGACAGAGCTAGCACGCAACGTGTAACGGGGTAGCCCGCTACATAATTATTGACACCAAACGGTGTCAATAGGGATATTGTCTAGCGTGACAATATTAAACAAAGATACTCCAAGATAGATAATATTGAAGGAATATTATCCCCTTTTCGATAATATTCATGGGCTGCTCCAAGATTGGTTGATATAAGACATATCAACCATAGATTACCACCAATCGCTGCTATACGCGCGCAATGAGTGATGAGCAGGTTGTCGTCATACGACGGCGTAGTTTAATATAGTTATATAAAGATTAAAGTTATGTTGATAGCTCAACTATATCAAATACAGTTCTCTTTTTACCTTACTTGAACGAGTCGTTCAAGTAGTTTAGCTTCCTCTGCACGTACTAGTGTACGTGAAGTTTCGCGGCACCCCAAACAAAGGGTGCCCCGTTACACCTGGTAGCACTTTGTAGTCCGTCCAACGACTACTTAGTGTCCGTCCAACATGTTCATGTTGGACGTGGAAGACGACAGCTTTCATGTCACACGTGAAGGCTACTCCCATCTGAGTGACTCAGACTGGGAGGTAGTCGGCCGCATGAATGTGCTTATGGGCGATCCTGCCATTAGTGGTATGTTGGAGTCTATAAGCAGAGACCAGCAACATGCTGCTATCAACAAATTCCTACAAGAAAAACATGCCGTCAAAAGACAGAAGATAGCTTTGCTTCAACATCAAGACTCTCACCAGTTGATTGGCGGGCCGACGCACATGCGTCGACCCGAAACCTTAAAGATTGATATCTCAAGGTACAAGGGAACCGATGAAGATTTCCTTTTGAGATAGTTCGTCGAGATAGAAGACGCCATCAGGGCCCGTCACATCGAGGGTGACGAGATGCAAGTCACATTCGCCCCGTCAAATTTGACAGGACGAGCCAAGACTTGGGCCTTAGGGCTTAAGCTTCACGACCCAAACGTATTTGAGTCGTTGGAGGTCTTGAAGTCTCGGCTAAAAGAGACGTTTGAGCCGCCAAATGTCGATTTCAGAGCACGATCTGCACTCTTGAGGCTAAAAACAAGGTACGCGTGACGTGTACGCGAACGCACAGTACCTACACGACCTTGCAAGTAGTGTTACGTAAAACTTTGTTTATGAGCACACGCTCATCAACGTGATCATCTACGGCCTTGTGGATGGGCCTGTGAAGACCTACATGTTCCAAGAGGACTTCCAAACGCTGGAAAAGGCAGTAGCGTATGCGGAACAAGAATACTTCAGCCTGAGACAGTCTCAGGCTAACTCGTCAAACTATCGTCTGACCGGACGACAGGAAACATCAGGTCCCGAACCAATGGAATTATGTTGCATCTAGAGCGAGAACTCTCGCTCTCTGAGTTACAAGCGAACGGCAAGATGCCACCGCTGTCAGAAGATTGGACACTACGCTCATGAGTGTAGTTCCCCGAGCACCGCAACACGTGCAAAGACAGGACGTGATGATAATTGTTGGCCAAGGAAAGGTCCAAGGCGTGGGTCCGACCATGTTGCTAAGCCGCGACAGCAAGTCGGACCGTCAAAAAACGGACAGGGTCAGTAGGGGCGGAGCACCCTGCTGATCCAGCAACGTCAAGAGAATTTGCAGGACTTTAAACGAAGATTGCTCCTAACACTCAGTCGCTGTGCTTTACTGTCCCTACTGATGAGGTGTCTCTCATCCTTTTAAAGATCGAAGTAACAAGTGGAATGTCACTTCTCACCCTGGTTGACTGTGGGGCGTCGAACGGTTTTATTCGACGCCAGTCGCTAGGGGATAGTAGGCTTAATTATGTTGAGCGAGAGTTCCCTCCAACGAGGATGACGGTGTGCCTTGCTACAGGCGCATCCGTAACAGTGAACAAACGTGTAGTGGGAATCTACTACACGCTAGAAGGAAAGCAGTACGATGATGACTTCATCGTACTAGATTTGGATGACAGATTTGATGTCATCCTCGGTCTGCCATGACTTAGAAAAAACCCGCCATGGATTAGCTGGTAGCATCGATCCGTGAAGATACCTGCCGTTTGATCATCGGATGGCCATCTGACGAACATCTTGGAGCGCCCACAGGCGTGCGGACGTACTACGAGTGAGTGCGATGGCCTCACTTGTGGTACGATCGTTAGTATGACTGCACAAAATCACAGTGTAGAAGGCCACTACACTGTCGAACCATCTTCCGGCACCTGTATAGAGACACAGGCTGCGCCGAAGGTCCACCACCCGAAGATATCGAGGGGAGAAGAACACGGATGCACACCAAGAAAGGTGCATATTAGAAGAAAGATTAGTGTTGTTCAGGATGAACAACACGTTGAAGCAAGATTGACTATCAGAGAGTCGATCGTAGAGCAAGCCCGA